TAGGCAGGGAGTGCAGGAGGGAGGAGGGCCGGAGAGTTTGCTACTTTACGCAGTCTGGCCACGACTGCAGACCAGGCTCATCTTAGGGGCTGGGGAAGTGGGAAATCTGTGCAATGCATTGATATTTGGACTTTGTTCCACAAGCCCCAGAGCTAGTCTGTGCAGAATGAACTGAAACCGGCACAACTTGCCTCATCCCCCAACTCAGAGTTGAATGACTAGCCATGGGGCTGTTTGCATTGTGCTGAAGTATGTTTGCCCAAGATTGTCGGAGGGAGCGCTGAGATACAAGGTGTGTGCCTCAAGACTTGGGGAATGTACATTATGGGGAACAATATTTCAATGGCTTCAGGAGGCATAGTGATATGCCCATGTCTGGAAAATGTTCTGTTTCATGGGTAGCATTATTCACATCAAGTGGCTTTTGAGTCTGTGACTGCAGTTTGCTTAAAACAAATTAATTCCTCTGCTCAATGGAATTTGGGGTGGAATTGAAAGCAATTTATTCAGGACAACTGCACAGATCAAATGGCACATTCCAAATGGGACTGATGGAAGCTAATAATGAAGACTTATCCCAATACTTTTTGAAAATGTAACCCCCAAAGGTACAAGGGTAAACCTCCAAATGGATAAAAGTGCAAAACTTGTGTTCCAAGCCCAGCTTTCACAAATAGGAAAGATGGCTCTGCTCACCCAATAAGCCGTTCAACTACCTCTAGAGGATAGTTTCCAGTAAGTGAAAACTTAATGGCTTAATTCACAGAGATAATGAGCACCTGTAACTCAGTGATGTTCATTGACCAAAGGATGATCAAACATCTTTTGGGGGGGGAAAAAACAGCTACACATCCATCCAACCCAGATACACTGCCCAAGACCAATGCTCTACATTATCCAGAGCCAGGCACCTTGCAATGATTTGAGAGGATCAGCACCTTCTTTGGTTCAAAGTGAAGTTGTGGTGGTTCCTGCTAATCAAAATGCAAACTCTCCACAGGAGAGGGTGGAGGGAAAGCATGCAATCAGATGAGATGATCTGATTAATATAACTAAACATGTCTTGGCACTGTTGTTTAACACCCCTTTGAACACTGCTTTAGAGCTCTCCCCCTCCACGTGCAATGTCGGGGAGAAGTGCGCACAGGACAGCAGCCCAGAGAAACTGAATTAGTCCGTGGGGAGTTGTCAGTCATCCCTAGAGGCAGCAGCTATTAAAAGAGAAGATTTCATATTGGCGAGGGACAGGGTGAACAGTAGGGAGCAGAGGCGTTACTGGACTTCAGTCATACGCATCCAACCCCTGGGGCTTGCAGTATTTAGGGGCAGGGGTGCAAATAGGCAGAGCTAATGCAGGTGAGAGCAGTAATGTATTAGCACAAGGCTCTCTCAGAGAAGTCCGTGACAAGGACAGGTGGCTAGTGGACTGGTTAGTGGCGTGCTTCAAAATGGCAATGTTTCTCTTTCTACTGAATTTCCATCTGCTCTCCCCAGTGAGGCATTTCTACTGATGTCCACTGCCACCCTGCTTACAGGGCTGCAATAAATATTTGCACTAGACTCACAGGGTTTCTAGGGACCCATCTAGCTGAACGCCCAGTTCAGAGGCAGGATCCATGGGTCCTTAGCCATCTCACGTTAGACTCCACATGATAATGCCCTATTGAGAAGAATGACTTTTTTAGACAATATTTTAGATATAAAAATCATTCTTGCATTATTCCCGAAGGCTAATGCAGAATGAGCTATATTTTCTAAGAATAGTGATGACTGACCTTTCTTTCTGTGCACACAGGGAAATTCACTGATACTGCTGTGGTTTCCAAAGCAGGCTAACAATATAGTGATAAAGTCCATTTTGTTTCAGAAGAGAGTGGCCACGTGTGGAGTTATCTGGCACAGATATAGCAGAATAATCATACGGCTAGAGCAAAGTCAACCAGTAACTCTTTGAACTCAAGCCCTGAGAAAGCACTCTATACGTCCTCATTCAGATCCGTATCTTCCCAACCCGGCTGAAAGCAGGCATCCTTCAGAAACGTATGGAGAAGTACCTGTACCGCATGCTGGCATTTCACACAGTCTGACCCAGGAAGAGAGAATGAGAAGTAGAATAGAGCAGATAATCTTTCCTTTGACAGTTAAAACCAGGAAAGACGTAAGAGACTCACCTGGAAGATACAAAGTACATCGGTCCTGGGAGCAGTACTGCTAACTCCAAGGATGGGAAAAAACATTAAAGGCTCAAAAAAAAAAAAAGATGCTTAGCTTAACACTCATGAAATGTCTTTAAAAGATTATCCAGTTGTAGCCCTTGGTTTCAGGTTTGTAAGCCAGTAGGTAACAGTTACATCTGTCTTTAAGCTTTTCTTCACAACCACAAAGGGTAGAGAGTTTGGGGTATTTTTTACTTTTTTAAAAAAAGCTAATATTATCCAAGATCCTCACATGTTCATCTAAGTAATGAGTTGGGCTCA